CGGCCTCACCACCTCATAGAAAGGCCCGTGGGTCTGGGGATCCCCTTGTGCCCCAGCATTTCTGTTCTGCTTGTAACAGGTATTAAGTTTCTGATCTGTCAAATGAGATTGGGAACAACGGTACCTACCTCACGTGGTGTTGTGCAGAGTAAATGAGTTAAGACAGGTAAAACGCTCAGAAAAATGCCTGGCAGAGTAAATGCAATTTAGTGAGCAAGTCGTGGATACCAGACCCTGTTTTATGTCTTGGTGGAGATACATAGCTGTGAATAGGAGAGAAGAGACTTTTTGTTTTTTTAGTTTACATTCGATGGGGTGGGGAGAACAGAGATAGAAGGGGAGATTTTGACAAAGACAGGAACGAGATGTGGGAGAGAGCCCTGTGGATATATAGGGGGAGACTGGGAGGTGGTTAATGTTCAGTTGGAGGGAACGTACTTGGGGAAAAATGTTTCAGTTGGAGGGAAGAGTCAGTACAAAAGCCCTGAGCTGGAGCCTTGGAGGCGCTGAGGATCAAACAGTGAGATGGGGCTGGGGGGCAGTTGACAGAGGGCCTTACAGGCAGCAAGGCGGGCTAGAATGCCTGTTTTTGGGAAGGAAGGCACGGGGTAATAGTAAAGCTGCCGTGGGTTATAGCGGCTCAGGTGTGCCAAGGCGGCCAGAATCCCTCCCTCGAGAGCACCTGCTCTCCTGGTCACCTTGCAGACCCATGCCTGCCTCCGCAGCCATGTTTGGGCTCCTCAGGGTGCTGTGTTGGCTATGCTCCTCCACAGCCTGATGACCATCCTCCAAGGGCTTGGATATAACCCGCCTTCTTGGCATTCCCAGCTGGCTGTCCTGTCACTTTCCCAACACTGAACCTTACTCCTACCCACATGTTTTGTTTCACCTGTGGTCTTGAGAGACCCTTGCCTTTACCTACCCCAGCATCCAGCTTGCTAACCACTACTCTGACCATACCTGTGCCTCCCTGGGTGCCGGGCCCATTGGGGAGATGAGTAATTTTACAAGCATCTCAGTGTGGAATGTGAGATGTGCTGCGCAAAATCTCCTCCCTGCCCTCAAGAACACTCACTCCTCCACTTTCTACCTCCACTCCCCAAAGATATCATCACTCAATCACATTATTACATTTTTCCCCCTCAAGAAATGTCATTCGGCTCTGTTTCTTGAACTTTGTCCAAGGAACCCCTGTGGAATCAGCATCCCTGAGGTAGGGTGCCAGGAGACCAGGTTTTACACAAACCTGCTAGGTCCCTCACCCCAGCTCAAAGATGGGACCTATCTGTGCTCCACCCTCCTGGGTCCCTCAGCCCACCTCTGCCAGAGACCTCCCTGCCCTGCCTATGGACCCAGATTTGGGAAAGTGACTTTCATGTCCCATGGGCCTCTCCTCACACTGGTATCTACTCTTGAGACCATTCTGGCGGTGCCCCCTCCTATGGGGCCAAGGAGGAATTCAGGTTTTGCCCTGGAGCCCATCAGGAGTAAGCCAGCGAGTCCTGTGAGGACAGGGAAAAATGGAATGTAGTGGACTTTCTGGTTGACCAGATTCCTGCAGGATTCAGGCTTTCCACTTCAAAGTTTTCCTCCAACCACTACCTGGCCTCTCCACTCTTGGAGGGGACTCAGGCCACAATGCCACTGAAGGAAAATCTTGAGCTAAAGGAGGTGTTGCTTCAACCCTGGGGATGGGTACAGGGTGAGGGAAGTGGAGCGGCCTTTTCTGGCCCTGCTCCTGCTGCAGTTGAGCCCTATCCATGCCTGCTTTCCTCAGGCATCCCCTTCAGCTCCCTGCTAGGCGTACAGGTTTGGGGTCCACCTGGATTCCTTACTCCTCTCCTGGAGGAATCTGTGGATTCATTCCCTGTTAGTAAAGGAAGCTCAGCCCCTTCCAGCAGGGCGATGTCCCTCCAATGCAGGATAGTTTGAGAATCAGCTGTGTGCCTTTCATAACTCAGGCCCCTTCCTTCTCACCTAGGGCATCTTTTTGCCAACCTGCTGAAGGCGCCCATCTGGCCTTTGGGGAAGACTCAAGCTCTCCTGGAAGCTGTCTTCCCACTTCTCCCTGCCATCCATGCCCTGTAGGCAGAACCGGTCCTGGCTGGGCCCACCGCTCCTGGCCCAGAATTTAATGAGGTCTCATCCACTCATCATCTGAGCCCCTGGGCTGCCCCATCTTCCCCCTGTCCCCACACCACCTCCTTTCCACACAAGGTAAGAATCCCAAGGAAGAAATCGGAGAGGCTCTTCTAAGAAGTGTATCTCACCATTTGTTTCTGGGAGCCCCCAGGACCTACACTAGAAAGAGCCCTTTAGACTTCCTGCCAGAGGCCCAAGACCTCTAGGAGCAAAGGCCCCCTTCCCCTCCTGCCATCATTTAAGAGGTAAGACTGTTCTTCCCTTGAATGCTGAGGTGAGAGCTTCTGTATGTAGTGGGTGAGGGGCTGAGGGAAAGCTGTGGGCCCAGGACCAGAGGGCCTGCTGTCAGCCCTGGGCAGGTGGCTTCCCCTGCTTTATTGTCCCTCTGCAGATTCAGTGTGGTTGGCGCTGGCATGCCGCATACTCTGTTTTGTGGCTACATTGGCCCTCCTTTGTTCCTCCAGCTCATCAGTTCTCTCCCCCATAGAACACACATTGTTCTGCCTGGAAGGCCCATCATATCTCACCCGCTAGCCCCTTTTCTTAGTTAAATCTAAGTTTCCCTCAGGCTCAGCTCAGGTGGCTGGTCTGGGAAGCCTTCTGTGGCCCTCAGATGTAGGTAAGGCTCCTTTACTTCATGCTGTCATATTGGTGGTGCAGTGTGTCTGGGTCTCATTTGCATCCTTCAGAGCTTTCCTGTGAGTGCACTAAGGACAGAGAGTGGGCTGTTTCTGCTCACATGTTGCATTCCCAGCACCTCGTAGAGGGTTTGGCATGTGGAGGATTCTAATCTTGGTGGCCAGCCCCACAGGCTGAGCAGTTAAGGGCAAGTAGTTAAAGGGAGGGTGTTCCAGACAGAGGGATCAGCTTGAGGAGGAGGTGTGCAAAGGGTTTGCATGCGCAAGTTTAGGGGGGATGGTTTTAAGAGGGTGGGCAGGAAGCCCTAGTTGGGAATCTGGATTTTGTTCTGAAGCCTAGGGTGGTCTCTTTAGGATGATCTCATCCCTCTGTTGCCCAGACTCGATTTTACTGAAAGGCATTTGTTGTCAGAGTGAAGACTAGGTTGGAGGAGTAAGACTAGAAGAAAGCCTAGGTCAGAAGCTGGACAGTAGGGTCTGTAAGAGGATCATGGGAGTCTTATGAAGGAAGGGACAGAGGACTGGCTTACAAAGGCCTTAGGAGTGAGGGCTTGAACACCTCTTCCAATACATCTCTACCCTGCCTCCTTCACTCCAGGGTCTGGAATCAGGCCCTGTATATAGAAGCTATTTAATGACCGAGGCCTAAAGAATTAAGTTCAAAAGGTTGGAGACAAGTAAACATGAAAGTGTAATTACAGGTTCTGTCTATTCCTAGTGAGAGGTGGGGATGTGGCATTAAATCATCAGATCTTACAAAGAAATCACATGCCATTTTTCTTAATGTCTCTTGAAAACGATTCCTTGTCTATCTTAAGCAGAAATCTGAGGTATGTCCTCCAGAAAACCACTAAGGCATTCTGTTGGGTCTTCCCTGGGAGATGAGACAGTGGGGTTCCCCACACCCTGGGTGCTTTAGCAAATGTGCAGAATCAGAGGCTGTGGAAGTGGGCATGATCTGGGCAGGTACCCCAGGCAGGACTTTAAGAAATGCCAGCAGAAGGCAAGCTTCTGGCTTCTTGTTGAAGGATGTAAAGCAGCATTGGGTGGTAGGGAGAAACAAAAGGTGACTCAAGGTGCCTGTTCTCAGCTTTTTACCAGGAAGAGGATTTCATATGAACCCAGGGCTGGGAGATTATGTTGAAATGGAACTTTGAGGCTATCGAGCTCACTCCAGGATATCCAGGGCTGAGGAGGAGGTAATCCTCACTGTTCACACTTGGGTTAAATAACCAGAGCCTGCTGAGAAATTCCATCCTTCGCTATAGGGGAGAGAAGGGATTTTATATGCCAGGAAATGGCAGGCAGAAAGGGGGTGTGACCTCCAGGGATCCAAATAATACTTAAAAAACTGAAACAAACAACTGCCTTATGGCCCTGTTGAAAGAAATAGCTAAAGCGATTGCCTTTTATTACTCAGTTTCTAGGTCTCAATTTCATGTACTGCTTTGTCTGTCATAGTCCTTGATGGCAGTGATATAAGCAGCTCCAATGTAAGGTTTGCTGATCCTGCCATCTGTGTGCCAAGGGCTGGGAGAAGTGGGATCGTATCAGTTAATTCACTGCTGCTAAGACTACGTTCAATAAAATTCCAGCTAGGTGAAGCTATTCTTCCACTGAGCTTTTCTAAACACCCATGTCAGGCACTGTCTGTAGGGCCCAAGTGAAGCTAGTAATGGCACATCTCTGGATACGAACACTTTCACTGAGTCTAGACCAGTGGTTCTCAACCAGGGATGTTTTTGCACCCCACTCCCCAAGACATCTGGCAATGTCTAGAGACATTTGTGATTGTCACAGCTGGTGGAGGAATGCTACAGACGTCTAGCGAAGAGAGTCAAGGGATGCTGCTAAGCATCTCTGAAAGCGTAGGACATCCCCCTGCCCCTCCACCCCAAAACACACCTCAAGCAAAGAATTACCTCACTCAAAATGTCAATAGTACTGAGGTTGAGAAACCCTGGTCTAGACCACAACATGGATCAGTTTTTATGCCAAGACTAATCATGAGGTCCAGGCTCAGTAGGGTAGTAAGTAAGGCTAGCAAGTGTCTGATAAATTGGGAAAGAAAAAAACTAGGAGTCAGTGGAACAGTGGCCTCCATAAGGAGATGAAGGGCAGGTATAACTAGAGTGTGTTTAACTGCACTAGAATGCTAAGAGCTAAGGTTATGGTGCAATTGGAGCTGAGTATTTCAGATGTGTAGCAAGTCTGTGTGAAGATGAGGTCCAGGGTACAGCCACAGAAGAGGAGAGGAGCAAGTTTAAGCAGTTTATCTGACTTGGGATACAGTGGTCAACAGCTAAACCCAGTGGGGAAGACATTCAGTAAACAGATGAGCATCTGGTGGATATGGATATATACATATATATATATATATGTTTTCCTCCATGTTTTTGTAACCCACACCTTTACTTTCCATATACCTTAATATCTCACATTCTCTCTCCTTCAGTGTTATTTAACATTTCAAAATTAAGTTTCATGACTAAAATTAATCAAAGCAATGGGAGTTTTAGAAGGCAAGAAATTTATTCAGATGATGTAATAACCATGTCATTGTTAAGCCTTAACTTTTCTTTCTTGGGTGGTGCAGAAGATGCAGCAAAATACAAGCTGCTTTGACAATCCTCTTGCAGTTTTTTCTCTGTAGATAGTTATACCAAAAAAACAAAAAAGAGAGAGAAAAGCTTTAAGCTGTAAGGAGAAAGTAGAATAACGCAATAGATTAAAGTCTTCTTATCTGTTTATAGACATTGTACATCCCAATTTCTCTAGAATATTTATCTTGAAGTCTCTGGTCAAAACAATCAGACTTTGAATTCCACCAGCTCCACGTGAAGTTCTCCCAGTGAGGATTTAACATCATTGTGAAACACATTCTTCCCAAAAGCTGCCAAAGGTAGGCTTTAAGAACAAGGTCAAGAACATATCACCCAAAATAGTTTTGGATTTTTTTTTTCTCCTGGAAATAATATTCATCAATCTGGTTCTCGAAAGGTCGGCCAGGAATATTAAGACATTTTTAGTATGAGTTTGCTATCTGTAGCTGTCTTTCTGGCAAGTGCTTAGCATATTTCATAACGAGCAATGATGTTGGTATTTGCTTCTTGACATTTCAGGGTCAGGGTATTTTAAGCTTCAAAGTGTTAAATTCTACTGAAAGTTTTAGTTTTTGAAGTTTTAAAGTAGAGATTCTTTTTCATTGGTGCTCCAAGATCAGCTGTTCTGTCCATAAATTCAGCTGAATTAAGCTGACAACCAAGGAACTTCAGTATGTGACAGAAAACACTGAACAGCATTGAGATCTTCAAAAACCAAGGCAAACTGGGATCAAACGTACTGTTTTTCACAACAGTTATGCTGACAGCAAGGCTGAAGATTTCCAGTACATTACGGGCAGACTGATGGAAGTCAATGCTTGGGGGTGACTGCTGCAGCACATCTTGGAAGGCAGCTATGCTCACCACTATACCACCAACGCATGCTACTGCAGCACATCTTGAATGCCAGTTTTCTTCGATTTTTGACAAAAACCCAGATCTAAAACATGCCATTACTGTAGCACCACCAACATAGACTCCTATAATTTTTCCTACAACTCAGTTCACTTGATACAACTTCAAAAAATACTTTCTTTAGTGGTCAAGTACTCGGCTCAGTGAAAATAGCACATCCACAGTTTTTAAAGCCTTTATCTGAACATAAGCAAAGCACAATTTTCTTCATTAGCAGATTCATCTCAACTAATAGCAAAGAAGGATGAGCTGATGTTTTTTAAAACCTGACATTTGATGTGCTCAGTCAATCAGTTCAGACACAGAAGTAGATGAAGAAATTCTGGAGTTCAGTTTCCTCTCAAAGTTGTGGCAGTACCCGGAATGCAAGATTTCATAAGTTTCTCCATTTTTTTCTCCTTTGCAATTAAAAGGGCTATTTAATAATAAGCTTTCATGGCCTTCGAAGATTCCTGTTAATACTCCCATACTGTCCAATCTTAAAACTGCAGAGAATTGTGCTTTGCAGAACACTCCACTGTTGTTAGTGGCACACATTTAACAATGTTTGGCATGTGTCACTGCCCATCACTTTCAGATAAGTGAAAAAGCTGACCCTATCTTCTGTGTCATACATGACTATATACTTAATATAAGCCTCAAACATTTTTTTGGCTGCCATCTTTAGCTACCTCAAAGGAGAAAAGAGAAAAACAAGCAGTAATGATGCTGGAAGCATCTGGTCCCTTTTGCAGAGCGACAAAGATTTTATTGCGCTATAGTGGCAGCAGTGGGTGGCCAGGCAATACAGGCATCCAGTTATGTCTGAGCCTCAATAAGTGAAATGTTTTTTCATTTTCTTTTTATACACCTGTCTGCCGCCTAAAACCTGACACCATTTAATGGTGCCCTCACTCAGTCTAAATGATCTTACTTTCATAATCCTCTGATTCTAGCTTGAAGAGCCAAGGAGAACTCTAACTCATGGGATGGATAAAATGGAAGATGTAAATAAGTAAAAGTTTTTGGAGCTAAAAAGCCTCTTCTTATACAAAACTAAACTTTAAAAACATTGACCTCAAAACAATATAACTGTCCTGGATATGCAACAGAAATAGCAGTATAAATGGCACCATATCCACCACCACCATCTCTGGGTACCCCACCTGTCATACACCTCATTGATTATAGGCTTTACTCTGAATGCTTCTTATTCTACTTTCTCTGTGTTCCTACCAGCCAAGGAATTCTTTCCAATTGATTTTCTATATTAAGAAAAATTAACTATTTTTTCTTTTTAATATTGTAATACTAAATCTGATTTTATAAACTGTAACTCTCCCCATACCCTGCAATGCTGATATAATGTGTGTGTGTGTAGGGGGGCGAGAATGCCGTTCTTTCCTGTTCCTGAAAATCACTGACCTATTCCTTGAGCCCATGAGTAACAACTCCCTGAAACAGCATAGTCCCTAAAACCAAAAAACCTTGGTCACCTCCAAAGCAGATTAAAATTTTGTTGAATTAGTAGCTGACAAGAGAGAACTTAATGTAACCAGAACTGTGCAGTGGATAATGTATAGCATATTAAATAAACCTTTATACAAAAATAGTTCCATATAGTGTTAACTATTCTGGTGAGAGTTTTGTTTAGTAAGATTCTGAATCATGATACTATAACGTGCATGTCTGTTTACCAATGAAAGGAAGTGACAAAACCATGAACTATGTATAAAGAATGAAAGAAGATGTCAGTTACTATCGGTTTATAGATAACTTTGACAAAATAACAATATTTACATCTTCAGTGTAATTCCTGTATTGGGCAGCACCATATACCTAAGTTCTGGTATATGTCTGAAAATAAAAGTTTTATTTTCTTTTAAATATTATGTATTTTGGAAAGGATTATCCTCTATTTAACTTGGTTTGCTGTTTATACCTTACTAATGTGTAACTTCTCCAGTTCCAAGTGGGTGTTTCTGGACTCTCCTCATGAAGAAACTACCTCTTTTCTCTTGTCTAAATTGACATTCAATTAAAATCTTGGTTTCAAAATCCTTTCTAGAAAATCCTAGCGGAGGAATGGAAGGACACCTCCTCCCCTCAGCTTCAAAGTCCTAAAACCCAGAAGAATAGGGCATATTTTCTAACATAAGGCCAATTAATTATGACCCTGGGGTACTAAAGTTTATCCTTATAGTCATATTAATATGATGGACTTCGCAGTGGTTTGTAGTTAAGATATGTGTCTTAACTGTGCACTTACCAATAGTGACTGCGAAATGGGGGTGATGATCATATCTAATATATAATGCCTGCAGAGCTGTGCTCTGTTTGTGTTTTGACTGCAACTCAGAGTAAGCAGTACATTTTACTTTGAGACCAAGTATACACCTGGGTACATATAATTTAAAAGTTTCATAAAACAATACTTACCCTTACTATGATCCCATGCATTCTGCTATTTTCTGTTTCATTTAGAAACAATGCTGGGGGCATGACCCATTTATTTTATGGCCAACTAATTGGTCAAAACCCACAGTTTGAAAACTGCTGTAGGAGAATATGAGAAAATACATTTTATAAACTGTAAAGCACTACTGAGTCATGAGCAGCTGCTACTAAATATACAATTAAGAATTTTACAGGCCTGAAGACAACCTCTCCTTCCTTGGGTCCTGAGGAGTCACATCCACCTAGGCTTTTTCACATTGAGATATTTCTCTAATAGTCAGATCAAGGCTAGAAAGCAAGGCATTAACCAAATCAGAACCCAAAGAAATTAAAGGAAATTAGGAGAAAGTCAAAGAAACAAACATCTCTTTAGTGCCGTATGGTTTATAAAATACTTTCATGTATATGATCTCTTTCAGTCTTAACAAGCCTAGGGAAAAAGTAGAGCTAAGAGGGTAAGACTTGCCCAGGATTAGACAGTAAATGGCAGAGCCAGGTCATCTGATCCTAAATCCTTTACTCCTTCCACTACGTTAAAATACCAGGAAAGGAAAGTGATCAGGACAGGAGGTTTATTCTGATCCATCAAGGATGTTTATGTCTTCTGCCTTACTCTACAGGGGAAATGGACCCTACTGAAAGTGAGGAAGCAACCCCGGACTTTAGGAGGGAGGTGTGTCCAGTTGCTCTTATCAGTCCAAGACTCACACCTGGCATTTTGGTCTAATACTAGTTCTCTGTTTTGCCATTGCTTGTGCTGAACTCCTAAATGTCTATCATCTACAAGTACTGTGGTTTTCCATTCCTGTGTATTACAGTTCCTAGTATCCTCGTCAGGTATGGATTCAGGACACACACCAGAAGGAAATTTAAGTACTAGGGGGTCTGTCACTTACACCCCCTTATACTTGGGCAGACTGAAAGGGAGTAACAACAGTGGGCAGCTCCAGGTTGCTGTCTTAATATCTTTGCTCAGCTTCCTCTGGGGAAGCCAGTTGCCTCAGCCAGTGTCTCCTTTGTCCATATATGCCCATCTCTCTCCACCATGCCCCTAATCCCTTAAAAATAAGAGGTTCAAGTACCCAGTGCCCATCTCTCCCAGCTCCCCTTGTTGCTTCTCCACTCCCTTCAAATCCCCATATTCCCTCATGCTGCTCACCTTATACTCCTGCACCACTTCCTCCAGTGGCACCACACTGTGCTGTTTGTGGCTCCTGGATTCTCAACACACCACACAGATAGCCTCTTTGTCCACCTCACAGAAGAGCCTGAAGGCTTCTTGGTGTTTGGAGCAGATGCCCTGATCATTTCCCTGGCTCCCTTTATCAGGAGTGGGGCACATCTGGTGAATTATCTGGACCATGTTGGCCAGCTACAAGTTGGGACGAAAGCTGCGACGGGTAAAGCTCTGGCGGCACCGGGGGCAGGTGAATAGCCATGGAGGGGCCAGGGGAGGAGGCAGGTGGGTGTCGATACAGCTCTTCATCGTCCTCATCGTATTCTTCCAATGTCCCATCTTCTTTGGGGTAGACGTCAATTCTCAGGTCATGTCTCAAGCCTCCCAGGTAACAGTCTATATTCCTCCTCTTCTTCCTCCTGGTCCCACACATAATCCATGTCCCAATTCCTTATGCCACCGTCACCGACCCAGAGTTCATCATCCTCTTGGTCCTCGAACAACAACTTGTCAGCTTGGTGTAAAACCTCTCTAATGGAATCGTCCCATCCATCGATAGCCCCCACCGCCTCGTGGTCCTCCTCGTTCTCCCATTCATCTTCCTCTACGTCCCTGTCTTCCTCGTCATCTTCCTCGCTCCACAGCTGGGTCACACACCCTCTGCACAAGTTGTGCCCGCAGCCAATGGACAAGGGATCCTTCAAGTAATCCAGGCAGATGGCGCACACCGCTTCCTGCTGAAGGGTCTGCGTGGGGTTGGGAGTAGAGGCATAGCCAGTCATTTTAACGAGCTGCCGACCAGTGTGGACCAGAACTGAGGAGCGGGGGACGCGCCTGCAGGCCTGCCTCCAAAATACGCTGGTGACCCAAAGCTGTCCCCAAGCCTGCTCTTCCTCCTCGGGCCCTCAGAGAAGCCGTGCTCCTCTCAGCCTCTTCCCAGCTTTAGGAGCGAAGGCCCCAGGCCTGGACTCCGAGGGCAGTGAGGGGCAGAACCAAGCTGCAGCCCCCACTTCCCTTAGCTATTGAGCTTGCAAACTCAGGTCCCACTACTTCCTCGCTTCCCTCCAGGTTTGCCTGACCTGGCGGCGTCCTCCTCAAAAGCCGGCGCTCCTCGCACAGCCCGAGGCGACGGAAAATGACGTAGGCGCGCTAACCCACACTCGGGAGGGGGCGGACTGGGCTGACGGAGGACTAAGTCTCTATGGTGCCCCAGGCGCAGGGCCCGCTGGAGCCCCTGCTGCCCATTTAGCCACCCCAGAGAGGAAAAAGCCTGATGAGAATGGGCGCAGGCGGGGACAGAATCAATTTAAGCCACTGAGCGCTCTAATCAGCCACACCCAGAGGGCCCAGCAGCTACTCAGGAGAGCCGGTATCCCGAAGGGAGGCAAAAGAGTGGGGAGCCGTGCGGACACTCTCTTGTGCGTTCGTGTACTTCCGGCCCTTCTACCCAGAGGCCTGTGTGGTAGGGAGGACTCCTTTCCCGCGGCAGCGCTCGGGGCCGTGGTCTGTAGGAACCCGGCGGGGTCGAGCTCCCCGTGCTGCAGGGCGGTGGTGAGGTTGAAGACTATCGCGTGGGGACTTGGGTGCTTCCAGCTTGCCACTTCAAACCAATTCTCTTTTTCCCTGTTACCTACATTCAGACGCCCCAGATGCCTCAGACTCAGCATGACCTGCACCGACTTCTGCACATCCTTTCGCCTCCATCCATAATCTTTCCATTTACTCACCTATTTATGTATGCGTGCATGCATCCCTCCACCCACCCAAATATCTATTCATTTTTCACCCATCTACCTATCCGTCCAACTATCATATGCATGCATAACCCATCCATTCATTTATCCATCCACTTTTATCTATCCACGTTACAGGAACAACAACAACAAAAAGTAAGGCATGATGAGTTCCTTCAAGGAGTACAGAGTTACAGATGTGTGGTCATCCTTCACCCGAAGTTTTACAAGGTTTCTTCTTCTTTTTTTCTTTTTATACTTGACCCTCAGTGAGAAGCACATTGCACATATTGATTCAAAACATCTTGCGCATATGTGACAGAGACAAAACTTGGGAAAATTGTTCTTTCCCTTCAAGTCACACTTTTCCCATTCAAGTCACCCGGATAGATTCTATTTTACTTCCATAAGATGCTGTTCAAGCCCCACTGGAGTGATTGCACCCCCAACTAATTGGTCACTCTGGTTTGAGGAAATCCACCTCCCCTAATGGAAACTTCAGCAAACCCTGGAGCCCTTCCTCTGGTAAGTCCCACAGAGCCAGAATGGTAAATATGCTGTTCAACATTGTACACACAGTTTCTCTATCATACTGCTGAGCATACAGTGAGTACTCCTTACATATCTACTGAGTAAATAAATGAAACCCAACAAATTGCTACCATCAAGTCCTGCTGATTTTTTTACCTCCTCAAATCTACTCCTTCTCTAGCTCTGTCCCTGCCAGCCTTTATCTGACCTGTCACCTTCCAAATGAACAAAAAGTTTCCTGAAGGGTCACTTGCTCTCATTTCAGTCCATCTTTCAGCCACCAGTACCATCCACCTGAAATGAAAGTCTGACACAAGCTGTTGCCTCACTGTCTTTGTTCTCCCACCTAGAAGGCTCTCTCCTCACTGCTTCACCTGGATGTAATTCCTAATGATCCTTCAGATCTCTGCCCAGGCACCATCTCCTGAAGGAGACTCTCAAGATGGCACCCAGGCTGTGTTCAGCCCCCAGCTCTGCCACTCACTCTCTGTGTGAACTTGGATTAGTTTCTTAACCATCCCTGTGCTGCTGTTTTCTCACCGGCGACATAAAGATGATAGTAGCACACACATGGATTGTTGTGAAGTCAGATTGACATCTGTAAAGTGGTTGGAACAGTGTCCCCTGGGGTAATCTCTGCCACTATATTCCTCTCCTGTAGTAGATGAGCCTTAGAAGAAGCTCCCTCATCTCCTATTCTCTCCCACTTTGAGGGTCAAGTGATTGGAACCCTGTGACGAGAAATATTCCACCGTGTGTCACCCTAGTGGTTCTGAGAGTCTTATGTCTGGAGAGGGAGAGAGTTGCAACCTGCCTAAGGTGGATCACCTATTGGTGATGTTCATTTGTTAGAAAACTAACCAGTAAACTCCCATATACTATCTGGGAGCCTTCCTGAAGGTCATGCCTGACCTGGAGAAGACACAGTGGTCAATCTGAGCAACAAGAACAGGAGCTGAGCTTCAACACTGGAATACTCCCCCATCTCTGAATGCAGGTTCTGCCCTGTACATGGAAGAGGGTGGGCATACAAGCTGGGAACCAGACCAAGAGAAGAGGGGGCTGCTTATAAAAGCAAGTTCCTACTTGCCCCCGGGAGCTGAGCTGAATTGGGAAGGACAGCTGGAGAAAGAGCAAGGGGAGAGTGAGTGGAAGAAGATGGTGAGAAAAGACTGGAGAGAGCCTCCTGAAGGAACCGGTGAGACTTAAAAGGAACATAGAGTGGACACCCATCCTCAAGAATACCTAGGTGAATGAAGACCTCTAACGTTCAATGCCTATTTTCTTTTATCTTCCCTTTTCTTCTAAATTATCTCTCCTCAAATCCAAGTGGCAGCTAGGAGAGGGACTTTGTTAAGATTCCCTCACACTGTTGTGAAGCTTAGCTGATATTTTCCAGGGTACGTGGAAGGCTTGGTTTTAAGCCCTCTTGCAGCCGCCACAGCCCCAGGACCAGGCACACTCTCCTATTCCAGGAGGACTGCTAGCCTTCTCCTGAACTCAGCTGGGAACTGTGGGTTATTGGAGAAGGCCATTTGGCACACACAGGGCCTCAGGTGCCACTGTCCCAGGGGCACTGGTGGTAGTTGGCAGTGCATTTTTCTCAGGGCTGTCTGATTTCAGAACATTTATCCATGGAAACTCATATCAGCCTTTTTAGGCTAGAAAATCCCTTACAAGAGTTCAACAGCAGATGATTAAATTCCAGTTTATGGTGAGGAGGCAAGAATTTGTCACACGAGGGACCACTTATCAGAGGTACCAGAGAAGCAGTCTAGCATGGGCTAGGTCCCACAGGGGTTGGCAAATCTGGCCCTCGATTTCTTTTTGTAAGGCCCAAAAACTAAGAACAATTTTAAAGTTTCAAAAGGGTTGTAAAAAAAAAGAAAAACAAAGGTGAATATTCAGACAGAGACTGTGGCCAGCAAAGTCTAAAATATATTTACTACCTGACATTTTACAGGAAAAGTTTACCGATTTCTGGGCTAGGAGGCTGGAATGGAGGACCTCCAGAAGGTCTTCTGATGTTACAATTCTGACTTGTGTCTCCGCTCTGGGTACAAGACTCAGGCTTGTTCCCCGCAGTCAGATTCCAGAGATCCTGGCTGGACAGAGTGAGTGTGACCAGTGGGTCAGGCCCAGCTTCTCCTCCGCCCCCTCTGCGGCGCAGATGGCTCTGGCTTTCCAGGTCTCTTCCCTGTCTTGGACTCAGCTTCGGCATGTGGCTCTGGCAGCATGGAGGGGCCAGGCTGAGGGTCAGACCTTTGGCATAGACAGCCGGCAGGCTGATTCCCTCTTCCCTGGCTGTCTGCCTTGAGGTGAGGCTCTGTGGTCCCTCCATCTTGGCTCTTACTATTCAGCTATGTAGCAGCAAGGAGAGGTTAAAAAGACACCAGTCTGATTTCAGAACATGCCTGTGCCCTTGGCTATTCTGCTTCCACCCTGGTCTGTGAACTTCTCCAGAAAGTTAGAAGTTAAAAAAAGACCAGCCAAGGACAAGGTCTTCGTGTTGGCCTTTGTAATGTGTGCCCATCTGGCTTCCAGGTATGTCCTGCATTCCTCATCATGGTATCCAGGGCTGGAATGTCCAGGTCTCAGAGAATTCTAGGAGGCTTCAGGGAGGGCAGGTGTGGCTGTTAACAGTGAGGGTGACTCGGGGAGTGAGGCTGTGTTGAAGATGGCTTGTAAGAAAGCCTTGCTGTTTGGAGAATATGGATTCTAATATTACTGGTTGGATACCCACGATTCATTATTATACATTAATGAATTCTTTCATTCATTTGACACATAATCGCAAAGCGTCCAACTCGAGCCAGGACACACTGAGAAGAGAATTCTGCTCTGAATGTGGCAGCCCCCTCAAAAGTTGTGGTTTGGTATAACTGCTGCTGAAGCAAGCCCGAAGAAAAGTTGTGGTTTGGGACAAGACTCCCAGGTGAGCGGTTAGCAGGTGAGATTTGTGCAGATGAGGGTGGGAGTGGTATCTGGATGACCTGAGGCCTAGAAATCTGTCTGATTTAGCACTCCACCCACAGAGCAAGAGAAGGGTAGGTGGGTGGGTCTGCGGGTGGAGATCCCACAGTTCTGAGCCACAGCCAGCCCGGTCTGGCTGACAGAGGGAAGCAGTTCCCAGAAGAGGCCTGTGGCCACTGCTCTCAGGACACAGAGTCAGAGCCCTGCTGGGTAGGAAGGCTGTGCCCTCGGGTCGGTGATTTGAGAGAAGCTGCTGTCCTTTCCCTGCCAGATGCGCACGCCCCTTCTCTGCTTCCAAAGGCACTCCGACCCTTCTTGCTTGCCTTCCTGCCTCTGTCCACTCCTGAGACTCTGGTTGCCATTGGGGGAGCCAAGGGGAATGCTCAGGGGTAAGATAAACTTCCCTCTGCATTGCTCTCTGTCCCTTCACAAGTTTCTCTTTTGGCAGGCGTGGCTGAGGAAGGAACCCAGGAGAGGGGCAGGCTTCTAGGCTAGTCCTGCCTGTCCCAGAGCCCCAGACTTTGGCTGAGACTACTGACCAGCTGCTGCTAAGCAAGGAAACAAACACAGGAGTGGGAGCAAGGCCTGGGTGAGGGGGGCCTGCCACACTCTCTGGGTCTGTTCATCCCGTCTGTGGAATTAGACTCAGGCTCTCCCCCTGGGCTCACCTCCTACCTGGCTATGGGGTGCTAGCTGAATCATGTTCTTTGCTTCAGTTTTTGCAGGTGCACCAGACTTAGACCAATATGTGTTGAGGTGTGAGTGGGAGGTAAGAGAGAGAAAGCTCATGGTCTGGACAGGAAGGACTGTAACATGAGAGGCCGAAAGACCTCAGCAGAGGGAAGCAGCACGATGGGGGTGGGGGTGGTTAGTTAGAGGGTCAAATTTTCAGGGGCTGGTAGAGATGCTTGAGGAGCCCTTTTGGTCTAAAATGCATTTCATGGTTCTATGGGCAAAACACTGAACTTCGCCTCTAAGGGAACTATGATAAACACAAAATAAAGTTGAAGTTGCCCTCCATTGCCAAGGATCTCAGTCCAGTTATGGAGCAGACACTTCCTGAAGGTCAGGACGGTGGTGCCGTTGGCAGTGTCAAGGCTGGTAGATTCTGCCTGGTGTGTGAAGCCGGGGTGGGGGCTGTTCCAGCAGGGGTTAGTAGGACTCAGGAAAGAGGAGGAAGCCCCCGCTACCTCCAGGCCAGGGTAGGCAGTGTAGCGGCTGTCTCCTCTCCTTGGTCACTTCTGTCTACCAGCCTCCTGGTCCCAGAGCCCCAGGTTTTCCTGCAGATGTCATATTCTGGTAAGCAGGCAGGAGACTGGGTGAACAGGGGGTGAGAATTGCCAGCAGGAAAAGGCAGTGTGCTGCAGAAACAAGGGTTTGCTGACAGATATCCAGGACAGGGGTAGACAGCTTGGCTCTTGCCCTCAGGCAGTTTCTAAACCAAGTAGCCAATGAGGAAAACAGAAGAGGGAAATGACCGTAGCCTTTGGGTGGCAGGTGGCGGGGGCCTGGCTGCTGTCCTGTAGGGGCCGTCACACTATACCAGTCCCTGGCCTCTCTGCCCCTTTTCCTCATCTGGAGAGATGGTCCACCAATCCCACAGCCCCAGAGGCATTCAGGGTCCCTGACAGGGAGGAGCATGGAACTGGACAGGAACTTCCAGCCTATTCTGCCCAGGGCTCACATTTATAGAAGCCAGACCCTCTAGCTAAGGCTCCCTGAACATACAACACCCCCTGCATCAAAGAAGCCATGCAGGTTGCCAGTCTAAGGTCTATACTTGCCTGGTTGGGACCAAAGCTGGCGGTGGGTGGAGGGGGGAGGTTGAGTCTGGAGGGGCCTGTGGAGGAGCCTGAAATCTTGAGGGTGTGTGTAGGGTACAGAAAGGTGATACAGCTATACCAACTCAAACTGATGGCAGGCCAGGCGCCTCCTCCAATCTGCTTCTCCCCAAACACACTGTGCCTCCACCCCTCTGCCACTTCCAGGAAGAGCGTTTCACTTCTGCTCAGGAGGCCCTAAGTGCATCCCGGGCTGAGGGTCCACCTGGGCTCCTGCGCCTCCCAACATTGGGGGCCAGACCCACCCTGTGTCCTAACTTGTCTCACCATACAGACACACAACTGTAAAAACAAAACACATTTATTACCCCAAAACCTTATTAATACAGGTCCACAGTCCCTTACCCGAAACCCTTAGGGACAGGTGTATTTCAGAATTTCAAATTCTTTGGACTTTAGAAAGGTACCAAGGTGTGGATGCTGAGTATTACATAACACTACCAGAGGGGTCTGGGGTGGCACCCCGTAATCCCCCAAACCAGTATTTCTATGGAAAATTGTAAAAAGGCATACTAGAGGAAGGGATGGACAGGTATTTCAAAATTGTAGAACAGATAAACAGGATTATACTGCACAGCACAGGGAAATATACACAAGATCTTGTGGTAGCTCACAGAGAAAAACATGTGACAATGAATATATATGTGTTCATGTATAACTGAAAAATTGTGCTCTACACTGGAATTTGACACATTGTAAAATGATTATAAATCAATAAAAAAAGTTAAAAAAAAGAGTATGAATAATCTCACTTCACTTCGGGTTTTTTTTCTGTCCCCTCCCCCAGGTCAGATTTTGCTTAAAAAAAGGAAGAAGCTTCTGGCTTTTGGAGGTCTTTTTTTTTTTGATTTCAGAATTGCAGATAAGGGATTGCAGACCTGTACTTACTTGGCCATTTACACAGCAGCATGGTTGTCACTGAGGCTTTTGATACAGTGGTGAGGTGCCCAGATGGCAGCCAGACTGCCTGGCCTCACGCCCCAGCTCCGGTGTGAACCAGCTGTGGGACCCTGGGCCTCAGTTTCCTCACCTGTAGAACAGGATTATTCATTCCCCCGCACAGGTGTACTGTGAGGGTTGAACTGCTTAGTATATAGAAAAGTGCTTAGAATCCTGCTAGGGGTTAGGACAGCATATATGGAACATGTTGACATCACTGAGAAATTCAGACATTTAAGACACATCTTCAGTACACTCGGATAATTCTGAGCTCACTGCTGAGGTCCTGCAGGCCGTTAGGACAGGCTAAATCTTTTTCTAGTATCACAGCCGTCCACATCCTCGAGCTCAGGGCCTCCCAGGGCTGCAGACATGAGGTTTCCAAAGTCCCCATAGGAGGCGACATGTCACATCTTTGGGTCAGCTGAAGAGGAGGCAGAGGGTGGCCTGGGAGGGGACTGGCCTTGGGTCCTTTATGACCGTGGAGTGTTCCCTCTCCCTGCCAGGGCTCTGGCGTCCCAGTCCGGAGCACATCACGTGGCTATGAGACTCAAACTGCTGGTGGAATCAACAAACGTGTGTGGTCCCAGGGAGATCCTTGTTCACAGAAGAGACAAGAGGTTTCTGCTGCCCTGAAAATGTGAAGGGGAGGCAGGGCCTTCTCCAGACCCACCCTCCACAAGCATTCCCCCAGGACACAGCGAAAATGGGTCTTTCCCTCACTGTAAACGTAATGTATGCTTATTGTAAAAATTCAGACCATTCGAAAGGACAGGAAATAATGGAAAATAAGGCTTGTGTTGCTTCCCATCCTCCAGCTGCCTGGGACTAACTAACTGGCTTCTGGGCACCTGACCCTCTGAGCTTCTCCTCAGACACAAGGATACCCACACACAACATATCCCCTCACCCTCAAACACACACACACATCTCCACCCTAACACACCCGCTCACCCTCACATACACATATACCCACCCACTCTCACCCTCACCCACCCCCCATACCTCCAACACTCTATAGTCTTTACAAGAGGGGATCACACATACATACATACATACATACAAGAACACACTTATAAAAGAGGCGGGCATTTGGCCAGTTCTTCCTGATGCAAGCAGATGGATGCTGCCGGCCCCCGTAACTCTGACAATTGTTGTGGTTCTTCCCTGAAGGCTCAGACCCTTGGTTTTCACGTTGGGGAAGTGGGGATGAGGGTAACGTTGCCAGACTCACAGGGTGCCTGAGAGGCTCAAGTGGGATTTACAAGCAACAAGAAATCATTTTGCAAATTGTCAAGTGTAAACCCATCTGAGGAATCATTACTGCCCTCTTCCCCGCATCCTCCAACAGGAAATAATTAGAATTTTAAAAGGACTTCAGGAAGATGGCAAAACCATCTTTGTGGCACAGGTTGCTTGTAACAGGGCTGATGGGGGTGAGGAGGGCTCAGTTTTGGGGGCGGGGTGGGCCCTTCACAGTCAGATCACTGGTGCAGGGGGCCTTCAGGCCCCCAAACACCCTACAAAACGTCTCCTTGATCTCTGACGGTGAACTTCTGTCAGCAGATGAGGTAAGTGGCCCCTCTTTTGCTGGGCTTTAGGAATTATGGGGGTCCTCTCCACCTGCAGGGAGAAAGGAGAGAGGTGACCCCAGCCAGCTCCCTTGCCCTCCCCCAAACCCAGGTGGTGGCACCCCAGGATGCTCCCTACCTAGAGCATCTGCCTTGCTCCAGGATGGAAGGATGGGGCAGGGAGCCGAGGCCAGGGAGAGCACCGACCTCATGGCCATCCTTAATTCTAAGGCATCTCAGTCATGCTTGGGAACACCTGGGGCTCCCTCTCCCCAGCCAGCCCATCCCACAATCACCTGTGGCTTGTTCGTAATGTTCCCTGTTCCTGGCTGTGGAGAAAAAGAACACAAGAGACGAGGTGGGTGGTGGGTAGAGGTGGGGTTCTGGGGTCCCCCTTCCCTCTCCCTCTCCACCTCTGGGCCCTTTCCAAGGTCAGGTCCAGTGGTGTCCCCTGACTGCGACATCGGCAGGGTCCTCAGGGTGGTGTGCAGCTGTAGGGTGGGGATATTCGGGCTTTTCCAAGGTGGGGGCAAGACCTCAGCAGTAGTTGCTGCTCCCCAGGAGGAGCAGGGATGGGAGCACAGCATTCTTCCCTAGAAGGCTGGACCAGCCAGAGCCCCTCCCACTTCTTTTTTTCTTCCCCCCTACCGTAAAGGCAGTTGATCAAGATCACGCCAGCCACCAGCACGACCAGGATGAGGGAGATGATTATGGCAAAGTGCGTATGATGGGAGGGCCGTTCTAAGAAAGACAGAGAAAAGGGGGCACCCCCTCAGACCATGGGACTGCCCCTGGGTGCCCCGGGACCCTCTCCTGCCTCTCCTCACCCGCTCCCGGCCAAGCCTAGCTCCTCACCCCAGGACCCAGTCAGTGTGTGGTTCAGGCTGGAATGCTGTACATGGCAGGTGTACCGGCTCTCCTCTCCGGCTGGCACCTGCACGGCCACCCACGTCTGATAGGTGCCGTCCCCACTGGGGCGTATGTCCACATATTCAGTCTTTGAGATGAGCTGCTTCTCATCCAGCCACCAGGTCAGCGAGATGTCTTGTGGATAGAAGCCCAGGGCCCAGCACCTCAGTGTGGTGCCCCCGTCCTGGGCCGAGTGCCGTGTCACCCGCACTGTCGGTGGCTCTGCAGGAAGAAGGGGAGGGACGAAGGCTGGTCAGTGGCTGCTCTCTGCCCATCCTTCATGCTCAGTCTTGGTCTCCTGCAGCATCTTCCAGTTTTTAACTCAACACAAACTAGGACAGGAGAGACTCCAAAACCCCCAACTCCATCTCACCCGGAGTAAGGGCCTGAGGCCTGGGTTTTCTTCCTGCTCTGTAGGAAGGAGCCGTGGCTAGTTGGCCATCTTTCTGGGCCCCAGTGGGCTTATCTGAACCCGGGGGGACACAGCCTGCCTCCTCACTCCCCAAAGGCTTCTCTGTCAAATGGGATGGCTCTCGAGAATGGGAGCATGGGGCCAACCTGCATGGCCACAGGCTGGGCCTTACCTCTCCTGCTGAATCTCTGGCCCCCCAGTTCCAGGTATCTGAGCAGGTAGGGGAGGCAGACGCCTTCCAGATAGGCCTTGTCATACTCGGCATAGCAGCGCTCTGTCTCCCACCAGCGCTTGGTCCGCACGGCCACAGGCACGGCAGACACCCAGCTCAGAGATTCCAGGTCCAGCGACAGATGGTCCTGCCCATCATAGCCAAACTGCCAGAAGCTGCTGAAGCGGCCGTCTTCCTGGACCTCACAGCCGAACATGCGCTGAGCGCTGTGCATACCTGTGCGTACAGGTAAGAAGGCTGAGGTGAGTGGGGGGCCGGGGGAGCTGAGTCCCTGAGAGCCAGGGATAAGCCCACCACCCACAGGGGCCTCCAAAGACTGGGGGGAACAGAGTGTCAGCATTTTTAAAAAATTCTCTCAGGTAATTTTTGTAAGCAGTCTGGGTTGAGACACCTGCTGGGGCTCTCATGGGAGGTGAACACTGTAGTTCATGATTACACACATCCTGATTTTATATGCCACACTACTTAGGGGGGTAAAATATCCTCAGTGGTCAGCCTAAGTCATGCAATGCTTATGCTGGGAGCGCTGGGCTGACGCACAGCCCTTCCCAGTCTTGGTCCTCCATACCTACTCTTTCTGAAGCCTCTGGGGACCTGAGGCTTGTAGTCTGGTCATTTGGGTGTCCAGGCACAGAGCGGGAGGGTGCTGTGTTCCACAAGCATTTCATTTAGAATTAGCAGTAGCTCTGGCAGTGGGTGTGAGCTCTCTCTTGCTGAAATGGGGAGCCTGAGATGGCATCTGAGGGCCTGGGGGTGGAAGCCGGTGTGACTGGAGAGTGGGGGGGGGAGAGGTAGGGAAAAGCACCTCCCAGTCTGAGGTCCTGAACTCTGCGTAGCCAACGGGGAAGCATGGGGGGAGCGGGAGGCATCATGGGCCCCCAGCTCCCGTGGACGCCTGCTGCACTGGCCGCTAAAGCCACAGCTGATACTGAAGGCCCCGTGGCCCCCGCCTGGTAGTAGGGGAAGGAGACTGAGAAGAGCCACGTATCCGCAGCGTGCCACACCCTCTGAAGGGCTCCGCAGAGTCGCCTCTGTCCCCAAGCAGACAGGCATGGCTGTCCGGAGGATGAGCGTGCAGAGTATGAAGGAAGAATGGGGGGCAGGAGGAAGGAGCCTGCGCAACGCACCGCTGCTCTGATTGTGGTAGCCCATCACCGTCCACATCTCCACCTGCTGCACCTCCGCCCAGATCCTCTGCTTCTTGGTCTCCCTCTCCCAGTACTGGGCATCCATGGATGCCGCCCAAGGGGCCTGGGGCTTGGCCCGGCCCACACGACTGTCATACTGGATGAAGGGCTGGTCGTCCACGTAGCCTACAGCCAGAAACTGCGGGAGGCCGGGGCCTGGCTCTGATAGGGCCAGATAGTGGTAGATGAGGGAGTGCGTCCCTGTGGAAACACAAACCGATCTCAGGCTCACAAGCCCGGCCAGGGTCTGCCCTGGGGGCGGTCCGCGTGCTGGGTGGGGTCAGCAGTGGAAACTCATCCAAAGAACTCAATATCACCAAGAGCAAGAACTGGGAATTTCAGTTAAAAAAAAATAAGTGCATCCAAAGAGTTTAAATATAGACAGAATCAGTCACACATTGACGCCAAAGTTTAGGCACTAAGGTTTATGAACGTTACTCCTAGAAAGTTTCTCAGCCCCTCTCTCAGGGCCTACTTACCCACACTTTATACTCCTCTCTAATAAGTGTGATTTGTCTGGTTTCCCATTCCACAATTAAAAAGGATGTGATTTTTTAAAAGTTGGTTGTTTGGAGGCTTAATTTATGTGGGATTATTCATTTCCCAGAGATGCCTGAAAAAGGTTGGCCACCATTCTTAGCTTGAACCATTGCTGCCAGCTAATGGCATCTTGACTCCATTCCCTACTCCCTCCTGCTCCCACAGCAGACATTGCTAGTCGATCTCTTTTCTCTTTAAGTCCAAATGCTGCCGCTCTACCATGTCTCCAAAAGCGCCAACTCATCGATTCAACTTGGTGCTGGAGATGAACCTATTTAGCAGCCAGTCCTGACTCAAGCTACTAAAACAAATGCTGCTATTTAAAATAGCCAAGACATGGAAACAACCTAAATGTCCACCAATAAATGAATGGATATACAATGGAATACTACTAAGCCATAAAAAAGAATGAAATAATGCCATTTGCAGCAATGTGGATGGACCTAGAGATCATCATATTAGGTCAGACAGAGAAAAGACAGATATCATTTGATATCACTTATATGTGGAAGTCAAAAAGATACAGACTTTATTTACAAACCAGAAACAGACTCACAGACATAGAAAACAAACTGTGGTTACCAAAGGAGAAAGGAGGGGAGGGATAAATTAGGAGTTTGGGATTAACAGATACACACTGCTATATATAAAACAGATAAACAACAAGGACCTACTGCATAGCACAGGGAACTATGTTCAATTTCGTATAATAAGCTATAATAGAAAAGAATCTGAAAATATATGTGTGTGTGTATATATATATATATGTATATGTATAACTGAATCACTTTGCTGTACACCTGAAACTAACATTGTAAATCAACTACACTTCAATAAAACATAAAACTAAAAAAACTCAAAAAACAAATGCTATATCTTAGAAAGCTCAGCCCACATTTCTCAGTGATATCCCTGGCTTACTCCCTTATCAGTTTTTAAAACAGTTTTTGCTCAGAAGTTTTTACCCTCCAGCACTCCATTCTCTGTGTTATTTTTCTCGAGGGCACTGACTACACTTCCTAGAGAGTATGCACTTTGCTTGTTTGTCTTATTAACGGGCTGTCTCTCCTCTGCAAGGTCAGCTCCCTAAGGGCAGGGACTCCTATAGGATTGTTCTCTTTCCCCAGCACAGCTTCTGGCACATAGTAGGTGCTCAATGGTTGAATATTCAAATGTTCAAGAAGGAGTCGAACATATCTCTACACTCAACAGCTCTCTGTTTATTGCTTCCTTGTTACTTGTGACCACACCAAACTCTGCCCAGGCCTCTGCACCTGCTGTTTCTTCTGCCCTAAGCACTCCCCTGTCTTCTCTCAGCCAGTCTCCTAATACCTCGGGTTGCAGTCATGTGTCCCTTCCTCCAGAAAGCCCTCTTGACTTTGGCCTGATGTCCCTCAGAGGGGTCGCAACAGGCAAGGCCAAGTATAGCATTCAAAGGCATCACTAGAAAGAGGGCAGCCCAGATTCTCTCAGGGCTTGCTGTCTTTTTCTAAGCTGAGGGAAGAGGTGCTCTCTTCTGATGGCTGGAGAGACCCGTCATGGGAGGCCAGAGGGGTCAGAGTGAAGGGCTGACATCAGGCCTGGGCTGGCGTGGGTCTCCTAGGAAATGACTGGGATCTCTCTCGCGGTGCTGTTTCCTTGCAAACCATTGAGGTCAAGGTCATTGTGGGGTGCTGGCAGCTGTGAACGGGCATGCAGGTGTTGGGGGAACCGAGGTTATGGTTTGGTTTCTGTGTCAAGGTGACCCACCCGCTCCTTGGCTCTGATCTGCTGCAGCTCCACCTGCCCTGGATGTGAGGTAGGGCAGAGAGCCTGTGTCCTTGGGTGGCTGCGGGGCCTCCTGGGTGGTGGGGAAGGCATGCAAGCTGGGCTACCTGTCCTGTCTTCCTCACCACAGCTAAGGAAGCACAGAGTGATAGGCTGAATAAAAAGCCCCCCCGCCCCCCACCCCGGAACCTCTGAAAGTTACCTTATATGGTCACAAGGGTTTTGCAGATTAAATTAAGGCTCTTGAGCTGGTGAGATTATCCTTGATTGTCTAGGCAGGTGCTAAATGTATCCTTAGAAAAGGGAGCCAGAGGGCGAGTCTATGACCGTCAGAGAAGGTGATGTGGAGATGGAGCAGAGAAAGATGCAGGAAGGCAGCATCAGCCAAGAAACGCAGCTCTAGAAGCTGGAAAAAGCAGGCAAACAGATTCTCCCTTAGGGCCTCTTTAGGGAGCTAGCCCTGCTGGCACCTTGGTTTCAGCCCAGTGAAACCTGTGGAGCCAGCTGTTGCTCTCAGAATGGTGCTCTCGGAAGCCACTCTGAAATCCATAGAAGGATGGACCTGGAGATCGCCATTCTAAGTGAAGTAAGCCAGAAAGGGAAGAAAAATACCATATGAGATCACTTTTATGTGGAATCTAAAAAAAAGACAAATGAAGTTATTTACAAAACAGAAACAGACTCACAGACATAGAAAACAAACTTACGATTACCAGAGGGGGAAGAGGGCGGGAAGGGATAAACTGGGAGTTCAACATGTGCAGATACTAACTACTACATACAAAATCGATAAACAAGTTTCTACTGTACAGCACAGGAAACTATATTCAATATCTTGTAGTAACCTATAATGAAAAAGAATATGAAAATGAATACGTGTATGTGTACGTATGACTGAAACATTATGCTGTACAACAGAAATTGACACAACATTGTAAACTGACTATACTTAAATTAAAAAATAAGATAAAATAAAACCCCCACTTCTGGGCTCTCCATGTGCCTGGAGAACTGGCACCCTTAATCCTCACTCCTCACTGTAGGACCCTTCGAATACCTGCATTTCTTTGAGATAAAAAACATCTTCCACTGATGCGTGTCTACCCTAAAAAACCTAACTGCCCCAGGAAGTAGCTAGTCTCACTATGCCGTAGGCATCCTGCCCTTATCAGAGTCGTAAATCCCATTATTCAGAGGAGCCCCTGACAACGCTTACCTCACTAACAACCAATCAGGCTCCTGTGCGCGAACTGATCACACAGCCCCTATGCCTTGGTTCACAGCCCCCAGCCCCCAATAAAAGACCCCGCACATTCACCCTCAGGGCTCACGCAGGCCCTGCTCATCTATGTGGCCCGCTGCTGTTTGTAGCATGATATCTGAAACTTTCCTTTGTTCTTAAACTTCCCTTTGTATTTGGTAAATTCTTTCACTGCCCTAGTACCAGTCTACCGTATCCACCAACAGAACGCATTTTGGACTTCTGACCACCAGGACTGTGAGAGAATAAAGGCGTGCTGTTTCAAGCCACCAAGTTGTGGTCACCTGTTACAGCAGTTACAGGAAACAAATACAGCCCACTAGGTCTGGTGAGTTTGGTGGTCAGTTCAAACCTGTGAGCCCTGAAGGTCATGGCTGCTGCTGCCCTGAGACAGAGACAGGGGGAGAGAGAGAGAGAGAGAAGGAGGGAGAGAGAAGGATGGCGGGAGGGAGCAACTTCTCATGCTCCTGTGGACCGTCTGCATTTCCTCTTTTGGAAAAATGTCTGTTCAGTTCTTCTGCCCATATTTTAAATGAGTTGGTTGGTTGTTTGCTTTTAAAGTGAAGTACAGTTGATTTAAAATGTTATATTAGTTTCTGGTATACAGCATGGATGGACTGGGAGGGCATTATGCTAAGTGAGGTAAGTCAGACAGAGAAAGACAAATACTGTAAGATACAACTTACATGTGGAATCTAAAACAAACTAGTGACTGTAACAGGAAAGAAGATGTGGAGAAGGAATGGGTGGTTACCAGTGGGGAGAGGGAAGGGGAAGGGGCAGGATGGAGGTGGAGGATTAAGAGGTACAAATTATCAGGCATAAAATAAGCTACAAGGCTGTATTGTACAACATGGGATATATAGGCAATATTTTATAGTAACTATAAATGGAGTATAACCTTTAAAAACTTGTTAATCACTATATTGTATACCTGTAACATAATATTATATATCAACTATACTTCAATTTTAAAATATGATATTATAAAATACATACATAAATAAATAAAAATGATTTTGAAAAAGAAATGAAAAGAAAGAAGAAAAACTATACTTCAATTTTAAAATATGATATTATAAAATACATACATAAATAAATAAAAATGATTTTGAAAAAGAAATGAAAAGAAAGAAGAAAAAAGAAAAGTACCCATCATGCACCGATGCCATAACACTTCTGGTCAAAAATAAATAAGGACAAAATCAGGAAATACAACCCCAAACTCCTCCCTACCCAGTGAATTTTCTGCTCACTCATTTTTACACCCCATATAACCAGCTTGCCAAAGAAACCCAGGGCAGCTACTCACCTGAGTCTGCCTGCTCTCCCCTTGAGAGTGTACTATCGCTGAACAAATCCTGGCTTTGCTTTCTTGACCTCCATAACTCATCTGTGGATTCTTTCTGGGATGAGACAAGAACCTACTCTCTGGCAACACTGCCTCCCATGTACGCAGTGAGGGGCCTGTCGTCTCTCCCTCCCTGAAAATCCCAGTGCTCTCTGCTCTGCCCACCAGGCGGTCCTGAGACCCAGCTCACACACTGCCCTGCCCTTCTGCTGCCTCAGGAGGACGGCCTCAGCTGGGCCTAGACTTATACTTGCTCACTGGACCCAGGAGGGGTAATTATGCCTCAGGCTCCAGCCCTGAGTTAACAAAAGAAGCTGAGGGAGGCCATCCCTGCCAGGATGGGGTCAGTGCCGGGCACTGTTGGACCACAGCAGGGGGAAGCGGGGACCACATGGTGGGTGGCAGGGGATCTGCTCCTGCTATGACGTGGCCTGAGGAAGTTGTCACATGCCCATTGCTGCTTCAGAGCCTGTGTCATCACACCCCCCAACCCCACCACTTCCTAGGCATGTGGCCAGCTCCCAACAAGGAAGCAGTCTTGCCCCCTCGTAAGCACAGCCGCCCTCTTCCTCTGACCTGTGGTCATGGAGGGAGGAGCCAGCCCCTTTCTCACCCCTCACCGCCCCTACCCCAGAGACTTTTTTTGCACCTGCCGCACCTCCCCCACAATCCATGTAGCACTGCCAGTCCCTAGCTGTGTGGCCTTCGGGAAGCTATTTCACAGCTCCAGGCCTTGGTTTCCTCACCTGTAAGTGGAGGCAATTAACTGACATGCTCCACGGAGCGGGAGCATTTATGAGATAATGAACATAAGGAGGAAGTGCATGGAGACGTCATCTTTTCAGTCTTAGTCCTTTCCTATTCTGAAGGGAGGGGTGGCCATGGGAAGGGGAGAGCTGGAGTCAGGGGCGGGGTGGGGAAAGATGCCTGAGTGAGAGGCCAGCTCTCTGGAGGCCAGGTCCCAGTCCCCAGGACACCCTCCAGAGGCTCTGGCCTCTGTGTCCCCCGCCCTGGCAGAGTTCCCCTACCCCAGAACAGTCCACCAGATTCCCAGACTCTGGACGCAGCCTCCTGAGCCTAGGCGCTCCTGGCCCCCTTCATCCTACCCTTCCTTCAGCAAGGCAGGCAGAGTCTTACCTTTAGGCCATGGCTTGTTTTCCAACTCCACGTGGGCCAGCTCTGCCATCACCACCTTTGCCCTGGAAGCCGGGCCATCAGCCACCAAGGGCAGCCCCCAGGGAGTCTCTGTAAGGGGGGAGAGAGGAAAGAGAAGTATGAATCCCAAGGCATAAACATCTTACACACTCTTGTGTCTACTGGGAGAGACAGTATGGAATGATGGCGAGAGGCATGTTGGAAGGGAAGAGGGACGTGGAGGCCTGCCTCAGGGGTGACTGGAAACTTCTCCAGCCTGTAGGCACAAAGCCAGCAGGGCTTAGTTCTGGGCCTCAGAGCCAGGTGTGGTTTCTGAGCTTTCCAAGAACAAATCCATGGTGTTTTCACTGCATTTGCGTGAGGCAGGTCTTTTTTTTTTTTTAATAGACTTTATTCTTTTAGATCAGTTTCAGGTGAGGTAGGTCTTGACTGTTCCTACTCAGAGGGAAGGGAAGCCAGGGCTGGGCCGCCTCCACCTCTGTCAGACGTTCTCCACGGGCTGCCCCAACACCACCTGGCAGTTTTGACAATCCTGCCATTGACATGGATTTAGTTGGGGGTAAGGGAGGACTGGACACTGGCAGGCAGTGAAACCACTTCCCATGTGATGCTCATGAGCTGCCAGGAGGAGAGCCCATGCACTCCTGGCTCCTGCCCAGCCCTGCCCTGCCCACCTGCTCGGCTGTGCCAGCCCTCACCTCTCCCCTTGCAATATTACTCATTTGACAAACATCTATTGAGCATCTACTACAAGTGAGCCAGGTGGGGCTGTGGGTAGGGGCAGAGAGACAGACAGACAGACCAGACATAGTCCCCAGGGAGCTCAGGCCTGGGCAGGGCAGGAGACAACTGAGCAGTTAAACAAGCAGATCCAGTAAGGCAAGTAGGGGCTGACAAGTGCTGGGGTACAGGAGGTACAAGGCACGGGAAGCACCCTGGAGCAGGGGAGGGTGCTGAGGTTAGCCGTCTTGCTGAAAGCTGGAGACCTCACCAGCTGTAAGCTACCAGTGGGGTGGGTGAGTGGGGTGGGTGAAGAGGGAAGAACATTCTAGGCTAGTGAGTCTAGTGTGGTTCCAAGACTCACTGCATTAGCTTCACAGAACTTGTCAGAAATAAAAATCTTGAGTCCCAGCCCAGACCTCCAGAATCAGAAGCTTCGGGGGTGAGGCCTAGCTTACTGTAGTTCAACAAGCCCTCTGGGTGATTCTGACATAATTTTATTTATTTTTTACTGAAGTACAGTCAGTCATAATATGTCAATTTCTGGTGTACAGCATAATGTCCCACGCATACACATACGTTCGTTTTCATATTCTTTTAAATGTTTTTTTTTTTGGCGGGGGTGGGGGGAGATAATTAGGTTTATTTATTTGGGGAGGTACTGGGGATTGAACCCATGACCTTGTGTATGCTAAGCATGCGCTCTACTACTTGAGCTATAACCTCCCCTCCTATTCTTTTTCATTAAATGTTATTACATGATATTGAACATCGTTCCCTGTGCTATACAGAAGAAATTTTTCCCCCTGATTATCAGAGAAATGCAAATCAAAACTACAATGAGGTATCACCTCACAACAGTCAGAATGGCCATCATTCGAAAGTCCATGAACGATAAATGCCAGAGAGGTTGTGGAGAAAAGGGAACCCTCCTACACTGTTGGTGGGAATGTAGTTTGGTGCAGCCATGATAGCAAACAGTATGGAGATTCCTCAAAAAACCAAAAATGGACTTACCCTATGATCCAGTAACCCCACTCCTGGGCATATATCTAGAGGGAACTCTAATTTGAAAAGATACATGCACCTCAATGTTCATAGCAGCACTATATACAGTAGCCGAGACATGGAAACAACCTAAATGTTCATCGACAGATGAGGTGATTTTAAAGTTTTAGAATTGCTCTTGGCAAAAACACTAGCAAATGGAGTGAAAACACAAGACCGGAGTGAAAAAGAGTGTGGTGTGATCAGGCAAACCAAGGTCGAGGGACAACTGCAAATATAAGAGATGAGTCTGAGGAGGAAACAAAGGGCTAGGTTGCCTCCCGGTGCCTCTGTTTCCCCTTCTGAAAGTGGGGAGAGGCTAAGTTGGGGCAGGTCCTAAGGGCTGGAGGTCAGGGGCAAGGTCTGGGCCAGAGAAAAGTCGTGGCTATGACGGCGAGGAGGAGACCCTGAATCCATGGCTTAGATGAGCCTGTGCTGGAAAGCAGGAAGAGGGAGGCAGAGTAAGTACCTCCTGCAGAGTCACCGGAGAAGGAGGGTGGGAAGGGGTCGAGGAAGACCAGAATCAGTCTCAGGGGTCACGGCCCTTGATATTCCATAGGACTGGCCTCTGCAGTCCCTCTCCTAGCCTGCCCTTGATGGAGCTCCTGTCTCAGGGCCAGAGGTACATCCAGCCAGGTGCCCAGGCCAGAACCCTCACCCCGCTCTCTACCTCCCAGCCCCTAATTCCAGTTTTGCTGTAGTAACTGGCTTTGTAATCATCTGTCTCTACTTACTCTGTCTCTAACAGATCCCAAAGGCCACTAATTAGTTCTGCCTTCTCCTCTTGTTAGAGCAGGCAGATAGCTAGAAATGAGCAGAGAAAGGGGGACACTGGCCAAACGGCAGGAACTGGGCAGAAAGGAGGGGTACGGACCAAATGCAGGAAAACATACATCATGTAAGCACCAGGGGTCCCTGGGCAGAAAAAGAAAAGCAGGAACCTCTGGGCTAAGTGGTCACACATTTTGGGGTGCTAAGTGGCTGGAGGCCAACAAAGAAAGGTGGGAAAAGGCAGGAATCTCCAACATCTGAATGTAACCTTTTGCTCATTATGTCTTCATCACAATAAAATTAGCCTTGCAGATTTGAAGAACCCATCATGCACTGACACTATGACACTTCCAATCCAGACAAAATAAGGACAAAAATCCCTCCTCCCTCTAGGAAAGTGAAGTTTGGATGAAAATCAGGGAATATGATTCCAAACCCTTTCCTCTTCAATGAATATTCTGCCCACTTATTTTTACAATCTATGTAACCAACTTGCCAAAAAATCTCAGGGCAGCTACTCACCTGAGCCTGCCCACTCTCCCGTTGAGCATGTGCTATCCATCCCTTAATAAATCCTCACTTTACTTTCTTGACCTTCCCTATCTGATCTCTGAATTCTTTCTGCAGCGAGACAAGAACCTAGTCACCAGTTTGGTACACACCCAGGACCATCTCTCCACTCCTTCCCTCCTCCTCGGTTTGGGGACCTGTCCCCCTGGGCCAGCCCTGACCATTCCCCTTATAAGGAGATGGGGGCTTTGCACACATACCCACGACCACACCTGCCATGCAGAACTGGAATGATCTGTGTGCCCCTGTATCACCTGAGGGAGGAGCTGTAAGAAGCCTCCCCAGGGACTGTGGGAACAGTCTTGGCCCAGAGACACAGTGGCCCACTCGCCTGGGGTCCCTGTTCCAGGGACGTTGGCCAAACTCTTCCCCATTCCTGTTTCCACTCTCTCCCCAATCTCCTGCCCAGACATCCAGGGTGATTCTCCTTCAAGTATTTCCCGTGGGGAGCTGAGGGCTGAATCCTCCCATAGATGCATCCTGTTGAGTTCAGGAGCCTCAACTTGGAGGGAAAAAATAACCTTTTTATTTTCAATGACGTCTAGCTGAAGTTTGGCCATTCTCCCATGATGAATGGAGGCAACAAAACTCAGCAGAATTAGCAGAACCTGTGTTTTGGTCCCTGCTGGAAGCCATAGGTGTTTTCGAATCACACGACAGTTGCTGCAGACACCTGGAAATATACTTTACCCTTACTGCTTTCAAATTCTGGGAATTGTTATTTGATGCGTTATTTAATGTGTTAACTTAGAAGCACAATACTACATATCACAAATTTATATTTCTAGTTAAATTTTTAATAGATTTATAGAAACATAATTGGGTTCCTTTGGAAACCTATGTATATCATTTTATATATTAAAAACACTGAGACCGAGTCCAAGGCTAAGTCCAAATAGGTTAAGAACTTCGACTCTAGGTCCCAGTGCTGCCACCTAGCGTCCCCTCTGCGCCCTATTTTAAATCTGTAAATTGTAAATTGTGGATGTTCTGAGAGCCGAGATGGTTCTGGTACGTGAGGCCCTTAGAACAGAGCCTGGAATAAAGGACATCAGCTATTATTACTGCCATGATGGTGGGCACCTCCCTGCTTGTGCTAATAAATATTCAGGCATCTTTGCGGTCAGGATGGGCGGTGCCCTGAGGGAGCGGACCGGAAATCAGGTGCACGGAACAGAAACTGAGAAAGAATGGAAATTCCGGACCAGGTCAAAGAAATCCCCATTGCCCCTCCTCACCCTCTACCCCAACAAGGGACCCCCCGGACAACCCGAGAGAACCCCGCCAAGGGGCCAGGGAGACCTGTAGCGGTGCGCAGGTGCCCAGGCAGGGGCCGTGCAGGCCGCGCGCAGATTCCTGCGCCCACGGAGCTTCCCCAGGGCCTTCCTGGAGGACCCCACCCAGCCCTGGGAGCCGAGCGCGAGCGGCGTCCTCCAGAGGGGCCCAGGGGACTGTGGCGTCGGCTGGGGCCCGGGCGAGGAGGGTGTGTGTGTGTTGGGGGGGGTGGTCACAGCTTCTTGAGTCCCCGGGGATTCCCACCCGCAGGGCCGCTCACTCTGATCACGGGGGTTCAACGGGAGGGGACAAACCGGGGCTCAGCGATCCCTCAATCTTGGGC